GTCTGACATTGTCAGAATTGTCAGCAAAAATAAATTTGCTGTACCACATGAGGAAAATCTTAAAAAAGTAGTTTCGTCATTGAAAAGTGTGAAATTATATTTTGATAATGTTCACTGTGAAATTATCAAATTTAATGTTCACGGACAAATCAGTAATCCACTGAACAGCATAAAATGAAATGAAATGTAAGTAACGTACCATATATCAGTATGAATATATGTAACCAAGATAACTCCATTATTCCTATTTTCATCTGTTTATGTTAAATGTTATACAGTTATCATATGCCCGCTTCACAAATATGCATCCAAATAACACGTGGGTATTTTTATTTATTTTTATTTTTTTGTATTTCAAATATTTGAAAAACTTGTCATAACGGACAGCAACTAGCTTACTCTATATCTGAAAGACGATAACCAACAATGCATATTGACACAATGTATCAGATAGCATTTATAAGATTTGATAATGTTAAAAGTTGAAGTGGAGTTTTTGTGATAATTGTGCAGATAACGTACAGATAAATCTTCCTTCTGTAAAAACTTAAATATTAACAGGAAATGATATATGGTTTAATAACTATAGTTTAAATAACCCTTTAAAGGAACTCAAACACCTTAAAAACATAAAAGTCGAATTTCTTACATACTCGTAGATCAGCTGGTACACTTGAAACAGAAAGATATACAAAAGATAATAAAGAAATATACTCAGAAATAAATTGGAAATAGTATTTTTGAGCTATTTTAGTCCAATTTGAGTTACGCATCTCAATTTTGCGGCATTTTTCACACTTCTACTAATAATTATCCTGGAAAAAGCTGTCAGCTATTGATCCGAAAATTTTCACACAAGTTTTTGATCTACACTCATATCAAATTGAACAATTTGAACAATAATCTCAAAAAAATAATTCCAATCCTGTCACGACAAATAACCTCAATAGAGTCCCTTTAACATATTAACAGATTTTTGGTTTGCTTTCTACTTAATGCTAAGCTTTTAGTACTAGCTTACTCATTTGGTTTATACAGAATTTATTTGAGTTCGATTGTGTAGGAAGCTATAAGCTTATAGACTCACTTTTGAATCCGTTCCTGGAACCAACCAGTACTGAACAATGAGTGTAAAGTTTCTTGCTCAAGGAAACAACGACTATATATAATTATATCAGCTAGGCTTCAAGAGCGAAATCTTGTTTTATTTTTATAATCAACTTGAAAGTAACAAAATGAATTGAATATACGTATATTTGACAATATGTATTGCATAAATGTGGTAATAAATGTGTCAAACATGTAAACTAAATCATGCCCATACCATGGAAAACTTTTTAGTGCTTGACGCGCTTGTCAACAACGAGCTTGCATACTTCCTTTTTCGTCTTTCATTAACCATTCGTATCTTTCAAAACAAACCAAATTTGTACGTGATAAATTTGAAACAAGTATCTCTTTTGCAAATTTTCTGTTCAAATGTTACTGTTCAAAACACTAAAAGTGACATTATGCTCAATTTTGCATTGTCAAGTTGAGCTGATTGACTATGTATTTCAAAAGATGTTAAGAATGAAATATAAATCTGCCTTAAATATTAATATAAATCAAAAACAATGCCCCACTCTTTTTATAAATTGAACGTTACAGGTATTTATAGAACTTTTCTTGAGCCACATTATTTTTTTTTATGTTAAAATAAATCATGAAATTTATAAAATTGAAAGAAATTAATGCAAAATTGAGACTTATTTTGACCTTCACTTGTTCACCAACTATAAACTCTTGGATGGCCATAATGTAACTTTTAATAATATACAAATATTTTACATGATATATTTGATACATTATATACTATGGCAAGTTTAATTTGTTTTTCAAATTTCTTCTGTTCAACACACTTCAAAAATAAGCCATTATTATCTTTGTAGATTTTATATAACTTTTTACTTCTGAATAAGCTAATTTTCTTTTCAAAATTATTCTGTTAAGAACACTAAAATAGGCGAATTTTTAGATTTTATATAAAATATTACAACATGTAAGAAGATTAATTGAAATATTTCATTCCTGGTATTATGTATTTCGCTATGATAACCATAAATATAATTATTTTACAACATCTAATGAACAAGCTACATGAAAATATGATTCTCAAAAATGGCAGTATTGTAACAATACTGTAAACAAAACAAACTCTTCATTCAATAGTAGATAATAAGTATGATAATTTTAACCAGTTCAATGCGCAATGAAATATTAATATAACCAAGCCCTACAATACAAAATGATTTTCTTTCTACCAAAACATTCAAAGTCATTTTTAAGATAATAGATATGAGTTACAAAGACATATTTATAACTACAGATACAAAACAAACGTTCAAGATTGCAGTGTATATCCTCTGAATATCATCTGTTGCTTCATCAAGCGGTTTTTTACACAACATGTTGGATTAGTGTTCATCAGTCATAGTCAGTACTTTTGGCGACTCGATACAATAGTGCGTTAGTCAATATATCTCTTGTATCATAACAAAACGCATCAACATTTCAATCCAGCTCTGAAATGTAAGACAAAATGTATATAATATTATAGTTTAAAAATATAATTCAAACATAAATATATTAATATAGAATAGGAAATGGCGAATGCTGATAGTATAAAAGTTGTATCAGTTGTTTTATAAATTTAAACCTCATGTTGTAACAATATGTTTGGGCATACATTCCTCGCTTGGATATATGTCCGGTACTTCCAAACAACAATATGTAACTCAAAAATTGTATGCCTCGGAAATGCTATCATTTTTATTTCTCAAAAAAATGTTTATTTTTGGTATCTTGTTACAGTTTCCAAACATATACTCATTTCCTATTTAACTGAGCTATCTTTGCATTTATAGATATGTTGTCAATTACTGTTTTTATAGTGACTAAGTATTTTGTATTGAAATCAAATGACTACTTTGTTTAAGTTTTGCTACCTTTACGACACATAACTGCATGTTCGGCGCTACTTTTCAATTGTTCAACAACTAACATGCTCTTAATTTTACACGTTATGAAACACATGTTTGATATTTTTAAAGAATGTTAAAAAATGGAGTTCTGGCATTATGTGTCTTTAAAGTTTTATCAACAAAAGAAAATTTAAACCATTATACATATAAACTGGGATCGAACACTAATATATCAGACGCTTTGATCATCATAGTTTTTCAATGCAAGTATTTACAAATAATTTATGAAATAATATTGCTGCATTAAATAGTTTTTCAGCAAAAATGTAGTGTAATGCTCTTAGGTCCTGAAACTATTATGAAAGCTATTCAATAATAAATCGGTGTATATTGTATAGCTTTCTTTTTTTGAGAATTTAAATTTCTTTATTTTCTTTTGACGCAAATGTGGTCGATATGCATGATCAGTTACATGCCATTTATGAAATATTCGTAATACTTTTTTCATAAAACCCAGCAACAAGAATTTGTAATAAACCTATTCTGTTTATAGAAAGCCACAAACATATATATGGTTAACAAATCATGTTATCAGTCTACACATACTTTTCATTTTATTTCAAACGGCATTGCAATTGTGTTATGAAGCATTGTAATATAGTTTAAAAAAATATGGTTACTTGGTTTGTTCAGATTTTTGTTTGTTTTTTATTTCTCTGCAAGCGTGCGAGCACCAAATGCAGCTCGTAAAACGAGGTCAAGAAGGATAAAATTCACCTGTTTTAAGAAATACAAGACTGAACTCTTCTTTTAGAAGACTTTCACTTGAAAAAAAGGTTATTGAGACATTTGATTAAGTAAACATTCTTAAATTATAAAATTATTGCCATTTGTTTCTTTTGAAGTAATGAAGTAATGAATATTAGTCAACAACTTTTGATGTTGCTACAAATGATCCTATTTTTACATTATTCATTAAATTTTATTACAATAAATTTCTTTAAAAAAGAAAAATGATCAAAGAAATTGTTTTCTTCGTAAATATCTAAATTTACTGAATATAATTATTGGTTTCATACTTTCATTTGTATGAAAATATCATTGTCTTTATACTAGCTTTGGTTTAATTCTTTCAGTTTATACTTTATAAAAATCAAGTTTATGAGAATTTTTCATACAAATCTGTACTTACAACAATTATTTTAAATGCTGGAGCAACAAAGGCCCAAATAAGTCCACTCTCAACAGACACCCAACAGCTTCAAAACATTCAATACATATTGTTCATGATGACCGGGAAAGTACAGACCTGCACAAAATGTTACTGTATTCTTTTAAATGTGATTTCAAACTATTACTGTTACTGAAGCGCTGCTAAATTGTTGAATCAACATAAAATAACTTGGAAGTCAGACACTTGCCAAAGAAAAATAAAGTATGTGTCGGTATAATTATGAATAAACATATGTCTGACAACCATTTTTAATTTAAAAATGCCCACTGATGCACAATTTTAAACAAATCCGACTTTATGTCAACAGAATTGCATTTTGTACTGTCGGGTTCTACAACCATAATAATAAATATATAAATAATGTAGTGTTTGATTTTGTATCTATGAATGAACTTACTTTAGGGGGACATTTACTTTATTAATTTGAAATAAACTTGTCAAGATCTCCCAGCATTTAATTACTTTTTGTTAATTTCTTAGCGTAGGTTAGACCGAAATACCGTAGCCGGTCTATGTATTCATACTATTGTGTTTGAGGTCCTTATCCGAAGACTTACGGAAAGGGCCGCAAAGTTGCGATTGGTGTATATGTTGACTTCTAGAAAGGCATCAGACCCATCCGTGCATATTATATTACTTGTATATTATATAAAGATTCATTTAGAACTTGATTATGTTATGTTATTATTTATTGTCTCAATACTGAGATATTGTTCGAGAAATACACAGCTGTTAAACTGTTATAGATTTTGGAACTGTGTACGGATCCAGTAGAATCAGTATTGTACTCAGCCATATGTATAATGGCAATATTATTCCACACCACCATATTAATGTTTGACTTGTTAACAGAACTTACTTCGGGTACATTGAAGATTTGATAGATGTTCAGGCCTCTGAAAAGAAAATGAAACTTGACGCAGAAAAATAATGATTTGATATCCATGGATGGTTTCAATTGAAAGAAAAAATGAAGCTACATGGAGTACAATTGTGGTGTAATATGGAATGTTATGATTTTCATATTGAAAACAAGGCTATATTCTTAACGTTGAATCATATCATGCGTTTTATTATGTCACATGGTGCAAACGCTGGACGTTCATTGATAACATTAAATGAGGTGTGAAATAATTGTAGGTACGCCAAAGAAGAAGGTTCGTGTTTAATACGTATAACCTTGTTCATGTATTGTGCAATAACCATTGTAATTTCTAATTGTTCCTTGGTCTGATTTCCATGCACATGTCTTTTACTTGTGATCTTTTAAGCATCTTCCGTATAAGTGCATCATACGTAATACCTTGTATGGTGCAATAACCATTGTAATTTCTAATTGTTCCTTCATTTCAATTCCATGCACAGGTCTTTTATTCGTGAACATTTAAGCATCTTCCCTATAAGTGCATTTACACGTTCTAATGTCTGTTTGTAAGACTTGTTTATTACCTACGTATATTTATTTCCAAAATGATTTGATATTACTTAAAATAACAATTGTTTCATGTTTTCTTTATTCTGCATAATTACAACAGACACACGTATTCAAAATGAAATAAACACTAATTTAAAATAAAACTACTATAGAGTTATTATATAATGACAACAAGAATAAAATTTCATGTTTTCTTCACAGTTCAGACTAAATATCACAGAAGCCTGTCCTGAAAATGTCGAGAACATGTTGATATGTAATTAATCTCAGACAATGATTTGATTGTAGTCCATGTTTGACGGAATCGCCAATCCAGTTTTAAGATTATTTAAGAATAATCATGAATTCAGAAGAATCAAGAAGAATCACCATGCACCGCAGCTTCCAACATAGCCATAGATTTTAAGGTCACTATTCATCAAACTGGTAACGTCGGTCTGAATAATGTTTCTAGAACGATAAATAATAATATGTATTATTACTAAGATCATTGAAATCTTTTTCATGTCCAATGTATCAGAAAGCGCAAAGATTGACACGAATTAGGTTATTCAAACAGATAAAATTGCATGTAAGTCTGAACATATAACAGTTTATAAACGGATAAATGTTAAAGCAAATTAAAACATGATAAACAAGATCAACAAGGAAAGGCGGCGTTCAATGACCGCAACCGCCACACGACCCAGCAACAAGAACCAATGGCAAGGAGCCCAGACGGACCCAAACAAAAACGGGACAGGGCACAAGGCAGAGCACCAACAGGCTAACCACTAAATGATAAATAATTGTGACTGATAAGGAATTCAAAGAAACAAATAAATGTTTGATTAATTTGGTAAAACAGACTTTTTTTCAAATGTAATATATATTAGCAAACAGTAATGTAACGCTTTGTAGATTATTAGGAATCATGTAAAGAATAATATATTTTTATCAATTGACATGAGCTCATGTACTGTATTTGTATTGTTGAGTAATAACTATAATATCTAAGAACTTCTAGATGAACGATATCACGACCTGTGCTTTTAATTGTCATGATCTGAGTTTCAAAGCTCCAGATTTTGAAGCATTTTGTAATGCAAGGACACTTTCCTTTTAACTTTTTCTCATTTATTTACTCATATTTAAGCAAATTTCATTGGCCCTGACAAGTTGATTTAAAACATTTAAAGAATACAATATCCTCTTAAAGTGTCAAATCTGCTTCAAAATTAAGATGGAAGACACTTAAATAAATCATTTCATATATTCAATAATCTAAAGTAATTTTAATTGTAACTCACCATTTCAATTTCTTCAGCCCCTGGACGCCTTTCGCGAACATTCCTGTCTTGGTGATAAGTTGCTAAAATAACAATAACAAACAGATTAATGATGTTTTGAACTCATAATGTTTGATTCTTTACTCACAACGTATACTCCATGGTCCGTTAACTCTTCCGCTTACAAGCTAGTAAAACTTGAAAAATAACCGATTTGTACTGAATTTGATAACTTAGCCAAATAAAGATCAATCATTGAGGAATGCTACTTTTTTAACAAGGGTAATTATTTGGCTGAAATACGAATAAATACTAAATATTATACTTTGAAATTGGTATTTGCAGTCGACAAAAAGACCTGTTTTAGTGTTTTACCAATGAAATAATACGGATGGCCAAACACATAACACTTATTCAATGATTGATTTTTACTGAACTTTTTTACTTAGTCACAAGCGGAAGTTATAGCTGAAACTGGGAGTATGCTGTGATACTACATAGCAATATATTAAGATAGCATTTGAGAGGAACAAGAAAGAAATTATTAATATGAAAAATAATAAGTTAATGGTTTAAAATTAGATAATAAATTGAACATACTCTCTGCTCCACTATCAATGATACTGTTGTATAATTCTTGTGTTGATGAGTTAGACTTTGCTCTCGGCTGCAACATATCCAAGATTAAAACCAAGAAACAAAATACAATTAGCAGGCTAAGCATTTATTTTTTTCAGTTGTATCAGTATTTTTGTGTTTAATTTTGATACAATAATTGTGCATTCAAAAAAGTCACATTCAATCAAGTCAAATGAGTTTTTATGACATCAATGGAAATGTGTTTACAATGTGATAAAGGTCTGACCCCATAAGTTATGTGGAAAAAAAAACACATTAATCGGGTGTTGTTGTTTTTTATTCAAATTTTCTTCTAAATTATCATTTTATCACTCAAAAAGACACATACATGAAAAGCGTAGGCCCCCTATATCCGTTTATTTAATTATTAATCGTACTATAAGCGATCTCCTGTATACCTTTTGTATATTTGCATTCTCTGAGAGGTTTTGTTTACGTAAGAATTATATTTATTTTAGCTTTTCGACCTCGGTTAAGTTCCTATCATTTAATGACGTTATTTATTTATGACGTGAGAATTTGATGTTTCCTATCTTTAATATGAAAAGTTTAATTTATATCTAAAATATATTTGAAAAAAATAATAAAATTTATTTTAAAGGTTGTTAAATTATCGGTAAAAGGAGAATACCTATAGTATGCTTTCCATATTGGAACGTCCGTTTCCGAATGGTTAAGGTCGCTGATAACAAACAACTTACCTGTGGGAATATCTCGGCCATTATCAATAATAACATCATACTTAATATGGATTGAAATAGAAAACAAAAATAGAGGAAGTGATTTTTGATATTTGTATATATTTGACAAATAAGTCTTTTTTGGTAAAATTCTGATAGAACATTGTCTGACAAATGCTCACTGATGTAAAGTTATAACCAAAGTCGAATATATGTCAACAAATAGACATGTTTTACTCTCTGTTTCAAAAAACCATAAATTGTCCATAATAATAAGTTTGTAAATAATGTCCTGTTCACTGTTATATTTTTTATATACTTAATTTAGGTGGCCTTTAACTCGATATATTGGTATAAATTTTTATTTCAATCCCAAGCACGAAATTTCTATTTGTTTACATGTTATGTTTCTTGGCGTAAAATTGGCCGAAATACTGTATCCGCTCCGTGTGTTTGTATTTTTACGACTGTCTTCGTGGTTCTTATTCGAATATTGACGCAAAGGGCTGAAAAGATGCGATCGGCAACTTCCCCTTCACCGCTGCGAGTTCGAATCCCGCTATAAGGGAGATTTCAAGCTGACATCGTCGGTGCTTCTATTTCGATGCCCGTTCGTACCTAAATAATGTACGGAGGGGCACCTGAGGTCTTTCTCCACCAGTAAAGCTGGAAAGACCCTATGTAACCTTTACAGTGCTGGTGCGACATAAAACCTAACGTAAATCAAAGTTAACCTATAATGAATATACTTGATAAACATTATACATGTAGGAATATATAAGAAAAACGCTTACAATGAGGATTGGATTTGAAGTTGACCGTGTGAACATACCAGAACTTGCGTATCTCTTCTTTCTTTGGTAAGCATGCTTTATCTGAAATGTATAAAGATACTTTCCAATATAAGTCAATAACAATTTTGAAGTTTGTCTTGAAAAGCAAATAGAACAAAATATATCTTTAAGAATTATTTTTTTGTAAATAGATTATGTTTAAGTATCAGATCAGATTGTACTCTACCTGCGTGTTAAGTAAGCAGTGGAAAATGAATATCGCCAAACCCTGAAACGTAAAATATCAAATGAATACCTATAAAAGGAATTGATTTCAAAATTTAAGAATGAAAATAACTAGAGGAGACAGCGGCCAAATTTATTTGTGCTTTTATTAGCTTTATTTGCTTTAACATGATATTTAGAGAAATTAGTAAACAAAACACAATGCATGTTTGGGTGTTCAAAAATTAAGAAGCTTACTGTTGCGTTTCGTGATTACATTGTAATTTTTATGATAACTTTGTTAGTTTTTTTAATATGTTTTACATATTCTTTTCAGTTTATAAAATGTTTTATGATAAGAGAGGCATGGTGTTTTATACATAAAACCGAGCTCTCACTCAATGCGAAGAAAACAACACCCTAGTGTACCTGAAGTCCATTACAGACTGCCGAAACATACTGTATCCATGCAAAGTCTTTATTCACATAAAATATACCGATAACCCACGTACAGCCAACAAGAGGAAGTAATACACAAAGACAACGAATACCAGTTCTGAAATATATGGCAATATGTAAATCAGAGACATGTTATGTTTGATCTTAATAATGCCAAGGATATGTATTTATATCTAAATAATGTCGAATATACATATGTTTGATTTTAATAGTGTTAGAAATCATAATGTTTGATCATGATAATGCAAAAGATACGATTTCCTTGACTTTGTCATGTATATCTACGTTTTGTTTGGTGTTAATGATGTCGCAGTTCCGTATATTTGATCTAAAAAAGTCACAAATATGAAACATTTTTATAATTTCAGATATACATATGCATAAGATCTAAATAGTGATGAAGAGACACATTATATTTGATTATAACAATGTTGAACAAGCGTATTTTTATAAGTATCGGAGATAAGTACAACAACCATTTTAATTCTAGCCAGAACAACTTCTTAAATTCTAATTTTAGACAGAACAACTATTTTAATTCTAGACAGAACAACTATTTTAATTCTAGACAGAACACCTATTTAAATTCTAATTCTAGACGGAACGACTATTTTAATTCTAGAAAGAACACCTGTTTAAATTCTAATTCTAGACAGAACAACTATTTTAATTCTAGACAGAACAAATACTTTAATTCTAGACAGAGCAACTATTTTAATTATAATTCTAGACAGAACAATTATTTTAATTCTAGACAGAACAACTGTTTGAATTCTAGACAGAACACCTATTTAAATTCTAATTCTAGACGGAACAACTATTTTAATTCTAGACAGAACAAATACTTTAATTCTAGACAGAGCAACTATTTTAATTATAATTCTAGACAGAACAATTATTTTAATTCTAGACAGAACAACTGTTTGAATTCTAGACAGAACACTCATTTAAATTCTAGTTCAAGACAGAACAACTCTTTTAATTCTAGACAGAACAACCATTCTAATACTAGACAGAACAACTTTTTTCCATTCTAGGCAGAACAACTATTTTAATGTAGGACAGAACAACTGTTTTATTTCTAGACAGAACAACTATTTAAATTCTAGTTCTAGACAGAACAACTATTTTAATTCTAGACAGAACAACTATTTAAATTCTGATTCTAGACAGAACAACCATTTTAATTCTAGACAGAACACCTATTTAAATTCTAATTCTAGACAGAACAGCTATTTTAATTCTAGAAAGAACAAATATTTTAATTCTAGACAGAACAACTGTTTTAATTTCAGACAGAACAACTGTTTTAATTCTAGACAGAACAACTATTCTCATTATAATTTTAGACAGAACAACTATTTTAATTCTAGACAGAACAACTATTTTAATTCTAGACAGAATTACTATTTAAATTCTAATTCTCAGAAATCCAATAATGAAGTGTTAGATTCGTACATGTAAATCTGTTTAGCTACTAAATTTATGTAACTATGTTAAGAATTTGAATAAAATATTACAAACAAAAACATACATGGTTCTTTCCTTCAGAGATTTCTGTGACAAATTTTTTGTCTTGAAAATGGCTTTCAACACAAGAACTATCAGAATAAAATTCACCTGAAGACAAAATAAAAAGCAAATGAGTCCTAGGGCATCTAAAATAACAGAACTGGGAAAACTAGAACAAAAACTACATTTCTTTAATTAAATGGTGTTTATAAATCTTTAAAGCTAATAATGTATATAGAATCCGTTATTTGAGTTGTTGATACCTGAATTTAATTTACAAATAAAATTGAGTGCATGATAAAATGATATTTAGTGTCCCTGCTCTACAAGACTCATGAAAGTTTATATCAAATGCAATAAAAGTCAGACTATTTATCACAACACTACATTTAAGCGATAAATTTCGTTTCCCTTAACAACATATGCTTTAGTAAAAAAAGAGTGGTGTAATAAAACACCTATGTAATATGAAGTATCTGGAAATGTAATATTAAAAAAGCAAAAATCATGTAATAAAAGATGATAAGAATAAATATTCTAAGTGTACATATTTTAGTTTTACGACATGAATGAACTGTGTGTAGATATAATAGATGAAAATAAATCAATTTATGATTTTGCAAGCATTCATACCAGTCAAGGGATACATTGAATATACCTCTTACAGCAGGAAAAATATATGTCACAATAATAAAATAGTGTAATGTTACTAACAACATACCAAAATAATCAAAAGGGCCGGTCCTACGAAAGCCCATTTGAGTCCATCATCAATTGAAAGCCAGCATCTGATGTAAAAGATTTATGTAAGACAACGTTTTCTTCAGAAAATAACTGGTGATTCAATACAGGATTTGTGATTATAGAAAAGTACTATTTTTATAAAAATGCTTGCAATGGACGTAAAAAGTATAAAAAGGTAATAAATGGTTAACGGTATTTTGCTAGACCAATTATACAAACGCACATTATTTATATATTTATAGTTTAGTTGTGATAAATGCAATACCATATCATTTATTCAATAGGAAATACATACGATTTATCGTTTCCATAGCCCTTTGTCTGAGTAACCGCTAAAGATATGCCAACTATTACAGCTGGCAGTACTAAAAACACGAAATGTAAAAAGAAAATACATGCAAATATTTGGAAATAAAAGACATGAAACAATAACATAGCAAAACATATTCTAAAATTCGTAAAGTTAACTTAAATAGAAATAATGTAAACATTTTTGCTTAAAATCTGTCATTAGTCTTATAAGATAGACTTTTACTTTTAAATTAACAAACACAAGTAACTTGACCAATGGTTAGTTTTACTATATAAAAGAAGACCACAAAATAGAAAAAAGATATACAACGCTCATAATGATTAAAATTGTATAAACAGAAATATATGACAAATCAAAGAAAATCAACATTTGGAAAAGTTGTGGTGTGAATATGTTTAGAGAAACAAACAAAAACTAGACAAGAGATTACTAAAGACATACACCAAGCTAATGGTAGTATCCACTTTAGTCTAGATTCAGTAGTAAACACATATAGAACAACAAAAGATATTTCTACAGCCTCTGCCAACATTAGAAAAAACACCACGAGATAAATGTAATGTAGTAATACCGCGATTGTTGTGCAGACATCCTGGAAAAAAACAAAAATGTCATAACAAATATTAAATGTTATCTTTAAGTGTTGGTCATCTTCTCCTGAACAATTATTTCCATTATCGATACTCATAAATGTCTATTTCCCTATTCCCTCCTTAAGTGCGCGGTTTGAGGCTCCTATTTTAAAATGTTGGTTGTCAAAAGTTTGGAAATGTTAATGACCCCACATTGTGTGTCCTACCTGTTAGACAATCATATTTCTCCATTTATATACGGTGCCATTCTAGCGTTTATGTGCCCCTGGTTGTTCAACAGTTTGTGGGCAACAATTTTCTCTCATAATTCTAAACAAATGCTGATAACAATTCAATTTTTATCATACACAACAAGATATAACGTCGACATAACAGCTTATCTTAAAATTAGTGATACTATGAATTGAATGATTTTAGTGAACTTACCTCGTTTGTTGTTTTATCAACACCGCCGATAAATATACTGTAAGAAATCAGCAAAGCAAAGCAAAGATTCATCAGAATCTTCACGCGATCGGATTTCACAAACCTGAATAAATGTAAACAAGAGGGCCATGATGGCCCTGGATCGCTCACCTGACACAACCGCATCCAAGCAATGTCTTAAACAAGCATCATGGCCAAGTTTGATGACAACTGAGTCAAACATGTTACCTCTAGTGTGTTATAAAGATTTTTCCATATTTGGGCAATATGACCTAATGTTTGACCAGACACGACCCATATTCAAACTTGACCTAGAAATCATCAAAACAACCTTCCTGACCAATTTCCAGGAAATTTGGATCAAAACTGCAGCCACTAGAGTGTTAACAAGCTTTTTCTATTTTTAGCTCCTGTGACCTAGTTTTTGACCGGACATGACCAATCTTAGCACTTGACCCAGAAATCATCAAAACAACCTTCCTGACAAATTTCCAGAATATTTGAATCAGAACTGCAGCCACTAGAGTGTAAACAAGCTTTTTCTATTTTAAGCTCCTGTGACCTAGTTTTTGACCTGAGATAACCCATCTTCGAACTTGACCCAGAAATCATCAAAACAACCCTCCTGACAAATTTCCAGAATATTTGAATCAATACTGCGGCCACTAGAGTGTTTACAAGCTTTTTCTATTTTTAGCTCCTGTGTCCTTGTTTTTGACCGGAGATGATCCATCTTCGAACTTGACCTAAAAATCATCAAAACAACCTTCCTGACAAATTTCCAGAATATTTGGATGAAAACTGCAGCCCCTAATGTGTTAACAAGCTTTTCTATTTTTAGCTTCTGTGACCTAGTTTTTGACCGGAGATGACCCATCTTCAAACTTGACTTAGATATCATCAAAACAACCTTCTTGACAAATTTCCAGAATATTTAGATGAAAACTGCAGCCACTAGAGTGTTAACAAGCTTTTTCTATTTTTAGCTCCTGTGACCTAAGTTTTGACCGGAGATGACCCATCTTCAAACTTGACCTAGATATAATCAAAACAACTTTCCTGACAAATTTCCAGAATATTTGGATGAAGACTGCAGCCTCTAGAGTGTTAACAAGCTTTTTCTATTTTTAGCTCCTGTGACCTACTTTTTGACCGGAGATGACCCATCTTCGAACTTGACCTAGAAATCGTCAAAACAACCTTCCTGACAAATTTCCAGAATATTTGGATAAAAACTGCAGCCATTAGAGTGTTAACAAGCTTTTTCTATTTTTAGCTCCTGTGACCTAGTTTTTGACCGGAGATGACCCATCTTCAAACTTGCCCTAGATATTATCGAAACAACCTTCCTGACAAATTTCCAGAATATTTGGATAAAAACTGCAGCCACTAGAGTGTTAACAAGCTTTTTCTATTTTTAGCTCCTGTGACCTTGTTTTTTACCGGAGATAACCCATCTTCGAACTTGAACTAGAAATCATCAAAACAGCCTTCCTGACAAATTTCCAGAATATTTGGATGAAAACTGCAGCCTCTAGAGTGTTTACAAGCTTTTTCTATTTTTAGCTCCTGTGACCTAGTTTTTGACCCGAGATAACACATCTTCGAACTCGATCTGTATTTCATTGAGACCAACATTCTGGCAAAGTTTGATGATGATCCAATCAAAACTGTGACTGCTAGACTGTTAACAACCCAATTGTTAGAGTGTTAACAAGCTTTTTCTATTTTTAGCTCCTGTGACCTAGCTTTTGATCGGAGATGACCCATCTTCGAACTTGATATCATTAAAACAACCTTCCTGACAAATTTCCAGAATATTTGGATGAAAACTGCAGCCTCTAGAGTGTAAACAAGCTTTTTCTATTTTTAGCTCCTGTGACCTTGTTTTTGACCCGAGATAACCCATCTTCGAACTCGATCTGTATTTTATTAAGACAAACATTCTGACAAAGTTTGATGATGATCCAATCAAAACTGTGACTGCTAGACTGTTAACTACCCAATTGTTGACGAGGCACGACGCAGAACGACGGACGCCGGACATAGCCCCATCACAATACCTCACCTTGACCACTTCGTGGTCAGGTGAGCTAAAAATCCAATAACAAATACTTCACACTCTAATCAGTTCAAAGGATGCGATGATACTTTCTCGAAGAATAAAAGAAACGATCATTGACAAGAACTTACGATGATAAAATTGTTTCATTTTAAAACTATGACAATAGATTTTTGTTATCTTAATCCATAAAGAAAATATGAAATTTAGAATAACAATTCAAGTATTCAATATGATTTACTTTATGTAAGTAGACGGTCGGGGACAAATGATCTTAAATTCCGAATTTCTTAGATCTGTTAGTTAGCAATGCTAATGACACAAATGAATTTCATCTTGAAACTAAGAGAATATATTATTTTTTATTTGAATCCATAAAGAAAAGGTAAATTTTAGTACAACTATTCAGTATGATTTACGTTATGTTAGCAAAATGTCGGAGATTAATAATCTAAAACTCCTCATTCTTATCTCTATTTGTCAACAATTTCTAACAATAACACAAATGACAACCTTGCAAGTGAAATGATCCAAATTTGATGTATCTTTATACTTAATGTAGCAAAAAGGAATGAAGTATTTTAATCCTCATTAAAATAATGAGCACTTTAAATTTGTTGTGTCGCCCGTACTTACTTCCAGTAGCATATATGTGTGATCATCGTTATTATCAAACACAACATGGATATGGAACAGCCTACGATTGATATGATATGTATTGCTTCCGTTTCCACATTCTCCTACAAATTCGATAAAAAAAGAATGCATTTATTGATATCTTACAATATAAATCCGTTACAAATTTTCTTCATACAGTAGCCAGATCTTTTATATAACTGTTATGAAGATTGTGATTAAAGAAAAATGTAAGTATATTCGGAAAAACTAGTTGTATAGCATTCGAACTCAGGGTCAATATAATACAAAAAAGACGGCGATTTAGATAATACAAATCCAAGACATATATTCCCTCAATCTGATTAAAATCAGCTCTCAATAAGGTTTCGCTTTAAGATCTGACTGTGATCAGATTCGAAGTCATTTCTAGTGACCTTTCATACAGCCAATCATCGGCGAGCTTTCATAATTTTTAAAGCGAAGCGATGTGGTTTCTACTTTCAACCCTTAGAAAAACAATACTGAGTAGGTATTTTTCACGATTTTGAGAACAAACATGGCGTTGTCCATATAGCCGACAGGTATACTGGCAAAACAATCTTGCCCATTAAAGATTGACTTTATTATTTAAAGTTAATTTGTTAAAAATACTTCAAACATTTTTTTTCTAACAAAAACCAGCAATTTGTTTAACTTCCACCGATAACGGTATTTTGATACTTCTTTTAATGCACATGTAAAAAATCGGTTTGATTGCATGGCTTAAAATAGCTTTCTTGGATAATCCTAATTACTATTAAGATCAATATACGGTCGTCATCTGATCTACATAAAAAATAAGTTGATCTGAACTTTAGTCAGATTGTCTATTCCCTGACAAAGCTTTCTTTATATTAATTAGAAAAGGCGTGAACAAAACCATCACTTCTTCGGAAACTTTGCACGGAAAAGTTCATTTACATCGGCAATATTTTGTGTGTGTTTTTTATAGGAGGAGTTCTGTTCTTTGATTAGAAACAATTTCATTTAAACAAAAAAGGAAAAGCGGGAATCCAGGACAAGACTTCATCTTACGAGCATTTTAAATTAAAATTTTGTAGAAAGATAAAACACCCCCTGGTTCTATTTAAAATAAAACCAGTTTGCAGATGGATGTAAAATGCTTCCCTGAAGCATTTATCAGAATAAAGGTTGTTTTTTTAAGTTATTTGGAGTGTGCGTGCACTCATACAAAACATTTGATAACTTTAAACTGAAGTTTATATAAAGCAGGACTTCTGCAGAACACTTTAATTCGCGTTGTTAAAATGTAGTTTTTTTTCCGCGTATTGATGTATTGCTTATTTATAATAAGACATGTTTTGCAATTTCTTGCTACTAACATATTAAATCACGATAACTATGAATGAAGTTATACGCGGAAAAAAAATGTTCTGCTGTATATAAAATAAAATGATTTAAATGTTGTTTCTAAAAATATATTATATCATTTTAGAGTTTTCACCTTACCTTTGTCCATGGACTCATTAAGATCGCAAAATTAGTTAAATGATCACATTCACAAACAGTTTCATAATTATCCGAACGCTTTACTGTACATCCATCTTTTCCCCATAACACCCTGTGAATCAAGATAAATCTTTAAAAATATATGTTCATTTTAAACTGTTTTGGTTTCACGATCTCTGGATTAAGAGACAGACATTTTAGCCGCCAGATTGACTCTCTATATGTTTAGCATGTTGTTTTAGAAGGTAGTAAGTAAATCAGTTAAAAAGATAAAATGTCGCTTGCTCAGTTTGAGCTTGATCATAGATGGTAGTGGTAAGTGCAGTCTAACTTAACCGCCGCCTAGCACCGGTTTATGCAGAATTGTTAAACATTTTAAACAACATTCGGAACATTTAAAAATAAAACAAAAATATAACAAAAAACTGTTTAAATTAGAATTTACAAACATCTGCATAATTATGTATAAATACGGTAATTATTATGCGTGTTTCGATGTGATACCTTCTTGCCATTTTGTGACAATGACGCATGGTAAAATACTACCTGAATCCTAAACGAAATGACAATGGTCGAACTTAAATAAATAGAATTTTGAATGGGGGCCAGAGGTTATATTGTTTGTAAATATCAAATGATTGATAGTGATTTTCTCACAGATCTGTATAAGGTTTGTTTACCTTGATGCATTGCGGTAACTACATGTTGCTGATAACTGTTGATCAGTCTGAAAAGTAAAATTACAATTGCTAGAGTCTCTATTCTTTTCATTGATTTTTTACATATCTAAAACATAAGAGCAAAGTTTATATATAATTTTAATGCTTTTAAAACAAAATCAACTGTAAACGTTCCTTTTATTCAACGATTTAACACAAATTTAGGAAACGTTGCCTACCTTTTGATTGTTTACCATTTTAACGAAATGCGTCTTCATCACTATTTATGCTTTTATATCAGATGCATTTACTACTTATAGAGGTCAACATCACAGCAACAGAAGAAAGGTTTTCCTCAGTAGAACACAACTATACAGAAAATGACTAGGGATCCATTGATTATGATGTGATTTTCATCGGCAGAATGACATATTGACCTAAGTCACAGCCGACATTCTACCGGTGCATATAAAACAATGGATCATTAGTCAATAATGGTTTTATTATATCATAAGCAATGACATTTTTTAAAGGTCACGTTTAACAAACCTAACAGGATAAACAAAACAATAGCTTTGGCCTGTTTATTCTGAAGCGCTTAAAAATTTCGCTCGTAAAAAGATAAAGTCATGCGTTAAATGGCTGTGCGAACGCTGTACAAAGAATAATTGAAATATTGAAGTACTTATCATTGCGGTCTCAATTTTATATTTTATTTTGAATCGAACAATATAACATTTATGTATTATATTACAGCATGCAACAATAAATTTTACATGTATGCTGTTTGGTCATTAAATATGAGTCTGATTCTATTTTAGATCAAGAAAGTCAAATTCAGCCAGTTTTTATGATACTACAACCACCGAAGATGGCTTATAGTTTGTTCTGTTGAGTACGGCATGGACAAATAAGATTGCTGCTATTGTTAGATTATATGTAAATGCAAGAGATATGACAGTGAAAAAAGAGTAGAGTAATACATTGTCAATTGGCATTAAGTAGCTCTTTCTTTCTAAATACAGCAGTTTTGAAATATGAAGGTGCTCTGCAGCAATAACAAAACATCCCAATTGTATGTAATTGCCAAAAATAGTTACATTAAGAATTACATTGGAAATTCACGCGTCAAACAATAGTTTTAAATCTTAGAACTAAATCCCTGGAATTTTATATATTTAATTCAATCATCTTAATGGGCAAGAAAATTATAGCAATCCTGGAGAAATAACATTGTAAAACCGAGCCTGCAACATTTTCAATTTTGCCGTGTTGGGCTTTCTTTAGGGATTCTGTATTTATCTATTTTATAATCACATCTGTGTTATTTGTGCCGTGTGGCGGCTGTAAAAAGTATCCCCGTACATTTAATCAATGATGTTATATTTTCGATCCTTGAAGATCGTTCAGCACGACATTATTGTTGTGCTTGTGATATTTTTAGTTTCAACTTTTCGGCATTTTCTAGTTGGGTGGTTCCAATATTCCTACTTGAATAATGTTGAATCACCCTTAGGATATGTTGCCTGCTTTTTAAATTTGTCTCTTGACGTCTTATCTGTGATACGCAGGCTTCATAACCTCTGATCTCCTTTCAAAATTCCATTTTATTTAGTTCCGCCCATTGTTTTCTCGTTTAGGGCACACGCTTTTTATTACTTGGGGACCATACGCCGCTTTTCATGAAATTGCACGGAAGTGTCACATTGAAGGTTCCATGATAACCGCCGTATGAACACATCTGCGGATGTTTCTAAATTCAAAATTTTACTATTTCATGTTTAAATGTTGAATTCTGCTTAAGTCGGTGCTAGGGGGCGTGGACGGTAACTTGCACTTTCCAGTACCGTCCATGAAAAGGCTCAATCAAACCGAGCCTGCAACATTTTCAATTTTGCCGTGTTGGGCTTTCTTTAGGGATTCTGTATTTATCTATTGTAAAGTTCTATAACGGGCACATATTATTCACATTCTATTGTTAAATTAAACAAATACAGAACTTTATCGTATAGATTTTTAAATGCATAAACATACGAGACAATATTAATACTATTTTGCACGTAAAGTGTGTCATTTTGTATAAATAATTGGCATATACATGTAAATAGGTAAATATTTCTTTTGTATTGTTATTAACATACCCCAAAGTGTTGGAATGTTAGCGTAATATTAAAGTATTTAACTTCCGTCCATCTGTCCAACTTTACTGACATAACTGACGAGCCGAGTTCTATGTCATTTCTGTAACGATAAACTCAAGTTGATAGAACACACATGTCAGTAACCAAATCTATTTTGAATGTCCGAAAGATTTTCTAAAAAACAAAACATCTTAAAATTATTTTTTTCCATTTATAATGTCAGTTACTTTTTTCAATTTCTACTTCATTGCTTAATTGATCAGTTGTTTTTAATTAATATATGAAACATTGCTTTCTAAAGTAATAACTCCGTTGCATACGCGAAGAAAAGAATTACAACTTAGAGGATATGGTACTTACCCACTAAAAGCTGTATTTATTGACATCATGCCACTCAGATTTTTGTATAAAACAGCTGAATACGTCGTTGATCCTATGAAGTAGACAATATTAATATAACTTTTGCTTCAAAAATGTAAAGATATTTTTGGAGCCTCTGTGATCAATTGTTTAAAGTACCCGCTTTCAAATCACTTGACCCTCACAGCCCCACAACGCTGTGTTCTCGGACGGACCTGACAGCAAATTTCATATCAGAAAGCTATCCATCTGGTTGACGTGAGTGATATCTTCTCACTCAGGTGTCAGCTCATGCCTGGCAAAACTATAGGAAGGGGCACCAGAGGTCTTCTTTTACCAGTTAAGCTGAAAAGTCGCTATAAGACCCTAGTATACAGTGTCAGTATGGCTTAAATCCAACAACTTTTGCGTAACAAAGAAACCAACTAACATTTATTTGTTATTAGTAACTTATTGATTTAATTAATGTTTTTTTTTATAAATTCAAACATCATCATACCAGACAAAAACGCCTTGTTTTTTGCAAGCTCATGTCTTACCTGTCAGAGAAGCTTTGGGTAGATCCAAAGAAGCATTTTGTGATTCAGTAGGTGGAAACTTTATATTCGGTGAGTCCTGAATACTCCTTATTTCCAAAACTAAATATAAAAAAATCAAAAGTTTTTTAATTTCTTATTGATTTTCGAATATAAAAAATACACCTAATCATGAGCAAAAGAAAATCATAAGCAATATTCAGATTGATGTTTTATAACAGTCATGTGAAAAACATAGAATATGTCTAAATTACACGTTATCTACATTTCGTTCCTGATTGAATGTCAGTTGCATAATGTTTAATGACAGTAAGAGGTTTTACCATAAAATATGCTCAATACATATATATGTAGTATCTAAATATGAAAATATACCATAATATAGTATCTTACCTAAGTTATCAAATGTCTTTGAAAAGTTCCCTCCTGCGGGAGAACGGTTAAATGAGCTTGAAATAGCATCAGTGAAATTACTAATTACGTCTAAAACCTTTGACGCCCCTGATGGTGCCTAATTAAAAGAGTGCGATTTTATAATTTGCAAAGCAATACAGAACGTTATATTTTGACAGTGTCTACAGTTATTGTTGTTAGGAGTAAGATCAAACGCTATTTATTTTAAAACGTTACTATTTTACACAAATATATATACAAGAATGTACATTATACAACAATGAATTTAATAAGCAGTTTCAGATGAAAGTTAAGTTGAGCAAACATACAAAATTGTACAAATTGTATAATTAAATAGCACTAATTACATTTGTATAAGTTTTACGTCTTACAGTCGTCTTACATCATTTTAACAATCCAATTTACTGATTAGTCATTCAGCTGTTCTTATTTTGGAAGTTACATTATATTAAAAACAATCCCAGTTAAGAAGTAAGTCTAAAATACAGTTTAGTTTAGGAAACACGAAATTGCCATGTGCACCCCGAAGAAAAGAAACATTTTCAATGATTATAATATAAAAAAAACAAGAATAAACATCAACAAGGCCAAGGCAACGTTCACAGGTTGCGGCCCCCAACACACTCAAGTCGGGCACCCAGAAGGCACCAAACAAAAACCTGGAGTGGACATAAGGGTGAAAGGAGTGGGACATGTAATGTGAAATAATATCAACTAAAACGGGCCCATAAGGGAATTAAAGGGATAAGGGCTGTAAGGGTGAAAAGGTGGGGGGGGGGGTAAAAATGGGTGAGGGGGATTGAGAAAATACCTACCGTCAACGACAATCCAACAAGACAGACATCACAAAACATGTAAACATCCAAAACAAGTAACAATACAGACATGAAAAACACGTGAAGGAACACAGAGGGGTACCGCCTTGGAACGGTCAGTGGTAGTTAAACCACTGGGGAGTTTAAACCGGTTTTAGGCGCGCCAAACCTCACTCTTAGCCCCAATATGTTCCTGAATGACATGAAAGTGTAAATAAAATTAATCCCCGCCAAGTGAAATTCTAACAATGGTCATGGTAACATTAGACGAAATAAATAAAACATATACAAAATTATGAAAATATGTAGAAAAGCCTAATGACCATTACTTAAAATAATTGGGTCATAACCTCTTTTAATAAACCGTTTGATAATTTTAGTGAAGACGGCAGACAAATTACTATGACCCATGATCCTACAAAGTTTGTAAACCACATCTCCATAGAATTCAGGTTTGCTTATACCTAGTCGTAAAAGAGTTTTTAAATTTCAATTAAATTTCAAAACTAAGTCTGAATTACGATGGTAAAACTTTGTAAAATATTTACGCATTTTATGATAGCGATAACCTTGTTTAAGAAGTTTGTTAGTAATAAGTAACTTGCGTTCACACGACTGCATACACCCCATATGATGTAGCATGAGGTACATTTCTATCTAAATGTGGATAGTTAACAATATTAAAATAAGAATCATCTCTTTTATCGTAGATTTTAATTACTTTAGAAGTGTAAATGATAGACATGTTTAAATCTAAAAAAGATGTAATAACGTCTGAAGAGTAAGTTTTAGTCAATTTAAGTTCACTGGGATATATTTTAGAAGCCAATTGATCGAAATAAGGATTATTCATGTTAAGAATATCATCTAGGTAGCGGGAAGTGTTGTTAAATGCATGTGTAATTTCCTGATGTGAAGTAGGGGAAAGACTTAACATAAAATCCCTCTCATAGCAGTAAAGAAATAAATCAGCTACAAGTTTTATAAGGTGGGCACAATTAGTTCCCATTGGAATGCATGTTGTATATAGGGTAGAGAAATCGTAAGTACTTACAGATGAAGCTTGATAATTCTTAACTTTAAACTTCTCTAAAATTTCAATAGAATTTTTAACAGACCAAAAAAGATTTTTGCCCATGTTTTTCATAAACTGTTTCACAGTATCTAATCACATGTGTCTTGGTGGCAGTAAGACAAGAAGTCAATAAAATATAAAGATTACTGGTAGTACAAGATGTAGAATTAGCAATAAAGCGGTGGATTTTTTTGTAATTTAGGAATCCAGTACATGATAGGAAGTTTAAGCTCTTTCTCATCAACACGTACTTATAAATCATTTCAATTCGTTTTTTTTTAAAGTTTAATAAAACAAAACAAACCTCTGACGACGCTGACGATTGATCACCAATAGCTTGCCATGACTCAGTATTACTTGTACTCAACAAGTTACTAGTAGTTTCAAAGAAGGACTGTAAAAGATATCATACTGTTTATAGTTTACACATTTTGTAGTAGTAGTAGTAGTAGTAGTAGTAGTAGTAGTAGTAGTAGTAGTAGTAGTAGTAGTAGTAGTAGTAGTAGTAGTAGTAGTAGTAGTAGTAGTAGTAGTAGTAGTAGTAGTAGTAGTAGTAGTAGTAGTAGTAGTAGTAGTAGTAGTAGTAGTAGTAGTAGTAGTAGTAGTAGTAGTAGTAGTAGTAGTAGTAGTAGTAGTAGTAGTAGTAGTAGTAGTAGTAGTAGTAGTAGTAGTAGTAGTAGTAGTAGTAGTAGTAGTAGTAGTAGTAGTAGTAGTAGTAGTAGTAGTAGTAGTAGTAGTAGTAGTAGTAGTAGTAGTAGTAGTAGTAGTAGTAGTAGTAGTAGTAGTAGTAGTAGTAGTAGTAGTAGTAGTAGTAGTAGTAGTAGTAGTAGTAGTAGTAGTAGTAGTAGTAGTAGTAGTAGTAGTAGTAGTAGTAGTAGTAGTAGTAGTAGTAGTAGTAGTAGTAGTAGTAGTAGTAGTAGTAGTAGTAGTAGTAGTAGTAGTAGTAGTAGTAGTAGTAGTAGTAGTAGTAGTAGTAGTAGTAGTAGTAGTAGTAGTAGTAGTAGTAGTAGTAGTAGTAGTAGTAGTAGTAGTAGTAGTAGTAGTAGTAGTAGTAGTAGTAGTAGTAGTAGTAGTAGTAGTAGTAGTAGTAGTAGTAGTAGTAGTAGTAGTAGTAGTAGTAGTAGTAGTAGTAGTAGTAGTAGTAGTAGTAGTAGTAGTAGTAGTAGTAGTAGTAGTAGTAGTAGTAGTAGTAGTAGTAGTAGTAGTAGTAGTAGTAGTAGTAGTAGTAGTAGTAGTAGTAGTAGTAGTAGTAGTAGTAGTAGTAGTAGTAGTAGTAGTAGTAGTAGTAGTAGTAGTAGTAGTAGTAGTAGTAGTAGTAGTAGTAGTAGTAGTAGTAGTAGTAGTAGTAGTAGTAGTAGTAGTAGTAGTAGTAGTAGTAGTAGTAGTAGTAGTAGTAGTAGTAGTAGTGTAGTAGTAGTAGTAGTAGTAGTAGTAGTAGTAGTAGTAGTAGTAGTAGTAGTAGTAGTAGTAGTAGTAGTAGTAGTAGTAGTAGTAGTAGTAGTAGTAGTAGTAGTAGTAGTAGTAGTAGTAGTAGTAGTAGTAGTAGTAGTAGTAGTAGTAGTAGTAGTAGTAGTAGTAGTAGTAGTAGTAGTAGTAGTAGTAGTAGTAGTAGTAGTAGTAGTAGTAGTAGTAGTAGTAGTAGTAGTAGTAGTAGTAGTAGTAGTAGTAGTAGTAGTAGTAGTAGTAGTAGTAGTAGTAGTAGTAGTAGTAGTAGTAGTAGTAGTAGTAGTAGTAGTAGTAGTAGTAGTAGTAGTAGTAGTAGTAGTAGTAGTAGTAGTAGTAGTAGTAGTAGTAGTAGTAGTAGTAGTAGTAGTAGTAGTAGTAGTAGTAGTAGTAGTAGTAGTAGTAGTAGTAGTAGTAGTAGTAGTAGTAGTAGTAGTAGTAGTAGTAGTAGTAGTAGTAGTAGTAGTAGTAGTAGTAGTAGTAGTAGTAGTAGTAGTAGTAGTAGTAGTAGTAGTAGTAGTAGTAGTAGTAGTAGTAGTAGTAGTAGTAGTAGTAGTAGTAGTAGTAGTAGTAGTAGTAGTAGTAGTAGTAGTAGTAGTAGTAGTAGTAGTAGTAGTAGTAGTAGTAGTAGTAGTAGTAGTAGTAGTAGTAGTAGTAGTAGTAGTAGTAGTAGTAGTAGTAGTAGTAGTAGTAGTAGTAGTAGTAGTAGTAGTAGTAGTAGTAGTAGTAGTAGTAGTAGTAGTAGTAGTAAGTAGTAGTAGTAGTAATAATTCTTTCACATATATTAAATAATTCTTTCACAAATATTACCGTAGAAAGACCGTCATTTATGGTTATGTTAGTGTAGTCAATAGTTGCTATGACTTCTAGAGTTGACGTAACCGCTTCTAATTCACCACTATATGTTTTGTTGCTTTCAGTTTGATTGGTTAATGACGATAGTTGATCAAGTACATCAACTACTGTCTCGGTTGTCGGTGTTTCTTTAATAATATTTACCTAAATAACGAAATGTATCATACAATAAAGAATTGAATAAACTATTTTACACATTTAAGTAATTATATCTGATGGAAAACGCGTTGCTTTTCATTACTTATCATTAATTCATTTATCAAAAAGAATGTATTGTTTGGGTAATATGCAAAATAGTAAGTATAATTTTCTTCTTTGTATTGTCTTATCAACTAAAACAGAATTTCTAAACAAAATATAAACTAATTTATTTACACTTTCAGTTATTTCCTCTAGCGCCTTTCTAATACAGTTGTAATGAGGTAACAACCACTCCCCTTCTGTTGAACACTTTCTCGTTACATAATTAGACAAATCTATAATAATCAAATATATGTGTGAAAACGACAAAATATAATTAATAGCGACATGGTCATGAAAAAAATTTAGTTGGAGTTTTTAATGTCCTACTATTTAGATATGTGAATGTTCGATTTATTTCAAATCAACTTTTCATCAGAAAGTATCGTTTAGTAAGATTATCAATTTCAGAATTATATTTTATTAAATAATTGTTCAGTTTCAAGAACATACCTTGATTTATTTTGGAACATGGGAACACTCGTGTTTCGCCTGCTTTTGTTTCACTCCAAATCTGTCCATGGATGTCTGTGTTTTTTTCACATGGACTAACTTGTTTGCTTGGAGCTGAAGTATAGATTTCATTCTGCTACATATGTATTTTTGTAGAAATTGAGAGTTATGAAAAAGAGATGGAAGTATTCCATACGTCCATATATATAAAATATTAAACTGTTTTCTACATGTAGCTGTGTTTCATTAACTCCAACAGTTTATCAGTAAGTTTGTAAGGTTTTGTAACAAGTTATGTCACCCAGAAAATAGGAAATTTGGGATGAATTAATGCGATAAGTACTAAAAACGTGAATTGATATTTATAACAGATATACAAAATTAGCGGGACTTATAAACCAACGACAAAAAGTCCTCAATAGATCTGTTCAAGGTATCATTAGGTGACTTTTTCATCAGTAATTTAAATTAAAACAGCAGGGTGTTAAATATCACATTTTATTACCCGTGTATTATTACACAATTGGTATTCCTTTGAAAGTGGATTGGCAAGGCGGTAAGTCTAAAACAGATTTACACGTGACCGGTTGTTAGTTGCTATCATTCAACCGGGTAGTTTTAGTGCCATGACATAGTTAATTACTTAAAACTATGAAAATGATAAATCGTAATTTAAGTAACTTTTATTTATACCAATCTGATCAATGTTCATTGATTTTGTAAATGACAAATAGTGCACGTGAAGTGCATTTCCATGTTTTACAAGGAACCGGACAAAATGTGTGTTAATCCAACACCAATCGTAACTTCTCAAGAGTTTGAAAAATTATTTAAATATATATATGACTTAAAAAATTTATATTTGGCATCTCAGTCAAGTCGGATATATGATAAAATTTGCTAAAATGCATTATATCACGTGTTCCGACTTTTTTTCAGAATGATAATAAACCTTGATTTTATAAAATTTATATAAAGATGTTATATATTATATTAATAAAAATAGTTTTTATATGGAACAATTAATTGACTTCTTTATTTGCTAATATATATGTTGCCACATTTTTTACAACACTAATCTCAATGTCAGGTCTGTCATCGTAAGAGGGAATTCTTAAACAATCGTCTTTTCCATGCCTTTTTGGGACAATCTTGGCCAGATAGCTATCAAGGCATCTTTTGTGTTTCTGTTAAAAGCTTTTTATATGACTTTCTAATTTTTACCTTACACTAACTCGAAATTGTCTATGAATGTCTACTACATTTCTATGTATTTTTGCCCTACGCAAATTGCGCATGCGTGAAAAAAATACTATTTCCGGGCATTATTTCATAGCAACGGACCGCGTCGTAAAAAGGTCTATATGTACTAACTTACCTTTTATGCATTTAGGTGCACTTCCGCTCCATTGTCCAGACTTCAGACATACGCGAGAACGATAGCCTTCTAATACATAATCGCTTTGACAAGAATAGTCTATGACTGAATCAATTTTGAATGTAGCATGTGAATCTGAAATTGTAGGTTGGTCTGTGACGTTTGGGCGTCTGCAGTCTGGTAAATGAAATAAAAATAGAAACATGATAAAATATAATAATTGTCATAAATAGTGAGTGTAAATTAAGTTGTAAGGGTCTTTATACTGGGCAGATTATAAAATGTTTAAGCGGTTGCATTAAATGTTCATCTTACTGCATAAACAAAATTATTGATATACAAAGAATTGTTTTCATGCATTGACATTTGACATGTTTATCATAACAATAGCATAGTTATAACATTTATTGATTTTCACTATCGTTACAAAAGTATTATCTATATACACCACTGTTGCAAAGTTATCAAATAATTTCCATTTTAAGTAAATAAACCTATTATGTAGTACGAGATTCGTTATATAAATGATATACCCGTATATAAACAGCTGTTTGCTATATAACAAGCACTTAGTGGTCCGAGTTAGATAAGCTTACAGCTGTTTTTTGTAAGCCATATAACCTGTCAAAAACCTTCATACAATCTAAACAACATCATAAATTCAAGAATAATTCGAATGAAAGTTCCGGATCATAGATATTGACATATGTGATATTCATTTTCTTACAATATTATCTTTGCACACAATAAACGGTATTGCTATACTATTTTTATTGCTATTTGACATGCAAAAAATAAAAATGATTGATTTTGTTTTCATTTTTAGATATAAGCGAAATTAGGAATGTTTAGAAGAGTGCTTTTCACTCTTGATTATCCCACGGTATAAAATAGGCTTTAAGGCACTAAAACTGTCATTAATACTTATTTTTAACAAAAAAGTCTCTTAGAAACAGTATGTCTTATTTTTATACGAGTGATCATGCGTTGATCAAATTAGTCGGTTCCTACTGGGCAATCGTGCCAATGTCTGTCGTTACGTAAACACCAATGACCTTTGACATCTTTATATTCTTGTTAGGCTTTGTTAACAAATATGTTTTGTAAGCCTGTAGAACCAAATCGTGAACATTATTTATACACTCTAAGCAAGCATTCATTTGAATGAATACAATAGCAACCTTAAGTATGTACTTACATACAGGCAAGCATGTTATTGATACATTGCCATTCCATGTTGCTTTTTCTGAACATAGAAATGTGGCACTCGTGTTTTCATTTGAAAAAGAATATCCAACTTTGCATTTTATTAAGGCGACGCTTCCAAAATGTGTTGAATTCTTCGGAATGTATGTTGTCTCTTCACTGTTATTGATAGATAATCGCAGACGACCGCAATCTATAAGGTATAATATCATAATGAAGTTCATAAAAAATGAAAACGTATTCTTCAATATTTATTAATATTTAAAGGAATACAAAAAAATAGAACATATTCATAACAATCGAGCGTGTGCAAAAATAAAAGTATTATATAGAGATGTATCTGACCATTCTAATGGATGAAGACTGAAGAAGAACGAACCTACTGGAAGACACCTGGCTTGGTCTGTTGACAACGTACCCCATGTACCGTTCGCCTTGCAATGAATGATATCATTACCAAATATTTTATATCCTGGATGACAAACATATTTGGCGACAGATTCGTTTGCTTCTAAATGAACATACCCGAAAGGAATATCTGGTGGGCTGCCACAGTCTACACGAAAAATAAACAGTATTGTTTTTGTTGCAATACTTTTTAATACGAAAAAATCTTTTTTTTTAAATAGAACTTGCTTATGATATTTGTTTACAATGTGTATAAATAGATAAGATAGGGGTAAATCTTGACGGCGCAATAAAAAATGATTAAAAATTTTGTTTATTGCAAAATTTGAAAATATATTATTATTATTATTATTTTGTAAAAATAATGTACCTGGTTTTATTTTACTCGAAGTTATCATTGATATTGACGAGCGGGTACTTGTTGGTACTGTCGTGCGTTGTTCTGTTGGAGTATTTGATGTTGCAGTTTCTGCTGTAAAAGATGGTGTTATAGTTGTATTCTCTGAATATTGTGTAAAAGTTTTTGTTGTTAAACGTGAAGTTAAAGTTGTGTTCTCTGTTCGGCTATTAAAGCACTAAATAAATATGAAATCATTTCATTAAAATACAAAGTGTATGTTTTATGTTTTATTATCGTACTTTAGCTTCATAACTATAAATACGGGTACGAGGTATTTGCTCAGGCCTTTTCCAGATAATAATAAAAACGTGCAAACCTGTACATTAAGTCACTGCATTTAAATTATTTCGCTTCGTTCGTTCTTTATGTCAGAGTTTTAAATATTAAACGGTAACATTTTTATGATATTCCTAATCTTGTCATATTACTAAAATACACATTGTCAATGAAATTATCTTACAAAGTAATTAAAAGTAAAGTAAACTGGTGTCATAAAATAGTTCAGCCTTATCTAATCAGCATTGAAAGCTCAAAAAGGGATCAGCATGGCAAACGACCAAGCATATTGTTATTAAGTCATAAGCATGGACAAATGATTCAATAGTTGAATATATATTTTTCAACATAGAGGACAATTCAGTCTTTTTGAAAAAAATATCATCATAAAAATGATATGAAAAAAATAAAATTGTTCAGGGTAATCAAATATATTTGATAAAATTGTTAGCTTGTTAAACAAACCAGAATTCAGAATAAACTTATCATCCGATTCCATTGATACATTTGTTAACACAATGTAAATTAGTAAGCACCGAAAACGACCTAGGATTTTATTTCTATCAAAGTGTTCAGCATAAAAAAAGAGTCAATATCTTTTTTGAAAACGTGGCTTTACAAAGAACGGTCATACATTTGAATACATAAGATATGACTGTATAAAATAATCACACGTTAAGAAATAAATTACTTTGCTACGTATAGCGTAGAAACACAAATCAAAACAAGCTAACAATGTTTGAAACCGACATTTGGAGAAGAAGATATAAAGTGACCACATTCAACATTAGCCTGAACTACTTATTCGTTTTCCATATCATATTGTATGAGTAATATATATATACTGTGTGTCTGGTTTGACTATACAAAATTTATGAGATTATGATTAATTTGTTAAAAGTAATCGACCAACACCACACGGTCTAGAGTTTTGTCAGTTCACAAGCACTTAAAGATTGACCAAGCTCTAGATGAATGTTTACATACTTATCTTTCGCCAAAACGGTTTTGTATTTTTTCATGGCCGGTTAAAACGTAAAAAAGGTTGATAAACATGCTGACTAAATGGAGTATATCAGAGCTTAACACTGTTTGAATTTACGCATTTATACAATAACCCCCAGTTATCTTAAATTTTTGTTAAATCACTCTGAGGTAAAGTTTGAAAACATAATGACAAGGAAGTAAACACTTATATTGGCTCCTGACAATTACAAGATAACACACAAGAGTGTGTGTATGTATATTTGATATTTTCAAAATGTTTAAAATAGTTGTAGATCTTCAAAAAATTAAAATTATTAAGGTTAAGTCAACTATTGTAACACGTGTGCCGCTCCAATCAGGTTATACTAGTACTTTTAACATTTTCTAAGAAACAAATCTGCTTGAAGTTAATAAACTTTTTTATTTTCAATCAAATTCAGCAACTACTGTTTTAAGTCTGCTGAGGACCGTCATAGACTTGTTTGATGACCTTTCTGTATATCATTTACACACACAGGTACTTATCACGGCTAAGTTATAGTTGGAAAAAATTATAACATAAATTATATGATTTATACAACTAAAAGTGTGAGCGGATCGACCGACTGTAACTATTCAAAATTATTGACGTCGAGATAGGATAGTCGTTGGCTTTCTTCACGACTGCGGTAAATTCCTACAATAATAATAATTGTAGACTTTGAATAAAGAAGTGATACATATACGTTGTTATGGAATATATCAATTTTACTCTCGAACTCACAATTGTAACGTCATGATTGTGTGAGATATCAACATGTGTATTAGTAAATTCAACATTACACCTTAATAAATACTTTTTTTTCACATTCATTAATTCATTATTTTAACCTAAACCAAATTTAAATGTAAACTTTACGAATTCACAAGAAGACTTCATGAATGTAACGTCACACATTTATTGAACGTAAATACATGAAGTAATACTGAACTTAAAATAGTAAGCTCATGATCATGAAATTGTTGAAAAATGAGTGAGTGAAAATAAAAAAGTGAATTTTTATGAAGTTGAAATCATTAATTCGTGAATTAAAACCATAAATTCTTGAAATTAAAATGTCACAGTTGGTCTTATAGATCAAACAACTGCTACTTTAACAAGGGAAATATTTCAAATTATCCACGCAGTGTTGACGCATATGACAAAGAAGTATGATTGCAATAGTTTAAAGTATTTGTGTGGCATTAATCAATGACTCATGTTCGTGTTGTTTCATTGAACGTGTAAATACGATGGATATAATCACGTTGATTAATTGTATTAACTCACTTTCGCATCGGATAAATTTAATCTATGATCGGTTTAATGATACTCTAAATAATGTGCATTGCAACTTACAGGATACCCATCTACATTATAGGAACTCCGCCGAGGTCCAAAAATCCTAAAATATAAAAGTTTAAATTTGGAACAAAGATCAACTGTGACACTTAAACAGAAAAATTTGCAAAGGTAATTTATAAACATACTCGGAGAAAAATTGAGAATCGTATTTCTGTGTGCCTGATCGAAGTTTTTGGTTGTGTTTTATCCAATTAGAATAATTAGTTTGAAAACAAAACGTATTGAGTAAATGATCTAAAATCTCGTATACAAGTTATTGGGTTAGACCTACATTAAAATGAACATTACTCTCCAAAAATTATTTTCATCATGTTAAAAAAAGTCTTAGTGAAGTCCAACATTTTGTTTAAAAATAGCAACGAATACAGACCTGCTGAATATTCTTATAGGTCGGATGACGCATATACATTTTTATTTCGGAAAAGACACTTTTAGTGATTAACTGATAATCTTACTGAAATCGATTAAATATGAAAATATCCAGAAGGAATTTCAATTGTTACCACTAAAACGTTAAATATATTAACTTACATCAAAAAACATTATTTTTTAAGAAAAATAATTTCACTTTTAAGTGTTATCTGTTTCATAAGTGTGGAATATTTCTTAATTTTTCAAATACCTTTTAAGTGTGTAATTTTATATCTTTTTATGGTTATGCTGTAAAGGAACTCCACTTAGGTCCAAAAGCCTAACAATATGAATTTTATTTCTATACGTTGTTCAGCTTGGGCACAGAAATACATGTATATGAAAGGGAATAATGAATGTACACAGAAAAAAAGAAAATCTTACTAATGTGCTAATCGAAGCCCGATTTGAGAGAAAGGAGCGTTCATATCAATCTGCCTTAATAGGTTTAAAGATCGATAATATGTTAAGTATTGTTATCCATTACAAAATTTAACTATGTTAATATTTTAAAACTAGTAAGAGTTTGTTAATAACATACGATATGTACGATATGAATAAGCTGATAAGACTATGTAATCATAAATTAAAACAATAAACATCGTCGTTAATTGGACGTTTATTTGCCTGCATTGGTGATAAATATCAAACCTTTTTTATGGAAAAAATGATAAATCATACTTCTTACACTTTATCATTAATTTCTTTATCTCGCTAAATGTATATTCTACTTAACAATTTAAACAAATGTATATCAAGCACTTAAATGTCTCCTTGTAAAATTGTTGCACAAATTCTAAAGAAAATGTTTAATTTTATTTAATACCGTATACGGTTTATAGAATATTATTTGTCAAACTCTTTTAAAAATATTTAAATAAAAAAGATTATTATTTATTATATTTTTATTTTTGTTATTTACTATCATGCCGGATAAAAGTTCAATGTTAAAACACTTTTAATTGGAAAGGAGCTATAAATCGTTTCAAAACAACTTTGTACTGTTTCACCTTATTATACAGGACCTACAAGAGAAAGAGATTCTTGAGATAGACATTGTACATGTTTATATAAATTATTGCATAACGATTTCTACAAAAAAAACCTAAAAACAAAAACATTACGATTTGTCCATGAAGCCTGAAGATGTATAATACCTAGATCCCATATATGAGCTACAATAACGCCGTCATCACTGGCTTGAACATTTTTTCCTCCTCCCATTCCATTTGCTATACAAATCAAAGCACCATTAGATGTCCCGTTTCCTGGACCAGGTTGCCAAAAGTATACACGATTATAACTATTATATGCGTAAAGAAATCCACCATAGCTACAACCAGCGGCCGTTTTAACCTCGTCGTATGCCAAGTTTCCATTACCAACAAACCGGAAGCCTGAATTTACTCCAGATGTTGCTTCAACCTAAAACAAATATTTCATTTTGACTCTAATGATAGTTCATTTGAATTTAAAGTTATAATTTTTTTTTTATAAAGACATTGTTCATAAGATACAGCGTATTTGTTTCTCGTCACAACTATTTTATGATACTAGGCAAACAAAATGTTACATGAAAATTAATATTTATTCTATTTTACAAAGATTATTCTGTCAATAATTTTGGATAAAAATTTTCTGTCTTAGCTACAATGTATATTTCATTACCCAAGCTTTAACAACAGTTTCACTAAAGTTATAGTTAGTTCCATAACTTGGACTGAAAACAGAAGGAACTGTAGTTTGTGATGAAAAAGACGTAGTTAATGATGAATTCCTCCATGCATATAATTCCAAAGTTCCATTCTTAACAGCATTAAAATTCCAACCATCCGTGCCAGCAAATACATCTGAAAAATGCATTATTAATAGAGATTTCATGTACCCTCTTCCGTGCATAAGTGTCTGCAAAAGCACGAAAAAGGGTGATTAACGCTATCATAAAACGTATACGTCTAAATCCAGTACTTCGCATTTAATGTAAAGAAACGATTGCTTTCGTCCTCCTCTCAAAATGCCAGTGCGATGTCATTCGATAGTAATGTTTTGAATATAAAACGACCGGTCAGCCTTTGCTTTTAGCTGTTTTAGAAGGCGCCCAATGTCATTATGCATAATTATGTTTTCTTTAATAGTAATCGGGTGATCTGCAATAAATGGGCATTAAAATACATTGAAATGTATCTAATTGTAGTTTACAATAGAGAGAGATTTTTTCAAACAAATCATAAATCATAAAGCAATATAATTATAAGAAATTGCAACCAAAAAGTTATTATCATAAAATATCTGTCCAATTTCTGCATGGTACAAAAAAATGACATACATATCCTACAAAAATATATTTTAACACTTACAAAACAAACAAAACAAATAAAAACAATAATTTGAACCGACATTAGATAATGATTTATATGTAATCGTTCATCTCTCTTACTCATTTTGTGTGAAAGAAGAAACACATCTTCCGCCATTTTTGTAATTTGTTGTTTTCAAAGGCTGTCGTATTTATGGCGTTCTATTTTGTTTTCACGCTATGCAATTTCTGAACAATGAAATAACAAGGTAAACAACCTAATTGTGAAAGTAATTTCTTTAAATTAACAAAATCCTGAATTAAAGTTTTCTTTTATCCCATACTTCACCCACCAGTATACAAAGCGCATGGTCGAAACCCATGGGTTCTGATTTCGCCCAACTACACAATGAAGTGTGCACGTAACGAGTTCGCATGGGTAACCGAGGATGACAAAAACGGTAAATATCATAATAACAAGTACAAATGTTGCTACAATACAGCAATTGAGAAGCTCTGCGCAAAAAATGCGCTCATTACAGATACCTTACCAAATCATTCCTGCGCCTAGGTCTTTTCTATTTAGATTTAATACTAGTGAACATTATCAAGGCATCCATGCAAGAAATGCAGCAAGTGACGATGACCTAGTAGATATCTGATTACACAATTTTCTTATAAACTTTTCAATGGTTAATTGGATTTAACCAGAATTGTACATCAATTGTACATCTATGTATATCATAGATGAATAGGCGGACGAAGACATAGATATATTCTAAGACCCAGATAAATACTAGAAGAAGAACACAAAGTGGTATAAAAAATTTGGGATGAATTTCAAAAAGACCAAATTCAGGATTTTTTTTGTTATACGCGTTAACAAAAATAATGGTACATTAAAAATCATTAATAAATTTGCATGGCATGTTGATATAATGAAACACTATTTATCAAAGGAAGACTGTTAACTGAATTCTAGATTGATATGAGGAAATTCACAAACATCATGAACATGCGAGTCAAAGATATAAAAGCTACCTGACATTGATTATAAATAAGAAGCTATTGCTTATTGAATTATTAGGAAATCAATCTACTATTTTGTTGAATTGCTTCAAAATCCTCGTCCAGTTTTAACACCTTATGTTAAAAATGCAGACGAACGTTTCTGTTGTTAAAATGTAACAGTATTCGGCAATTCCACACAAACCACCAGGAGCTATTAATTTACCGAAAAAAAAACCTACGGAAAAGACAATTTCAAAATGATAATTCGATGATATAACAGTAAAAATAGCAAACTTAAATTTTTTTGATAAAATCATGAAGAGTGCAATTTAAGGTTGAATATGTTTGCTTTTCATTTTCTGCAAAAATATCCAGTTCGTTATTTATTACCATAGCGCGAAACAAATGACCGTAAATAGATTTTTGGACTTTCACAATGTAAAGGTCATAATTATTTATAGCTTTCGAATTCATGTACAACAATAAATACATACATAGCCCACTGTGTTATACAAATAATTAATAGTAATTTCCTGTGTAAGAAATGATTTACCAAATTTAAGATTTTTTTTTGTCTTTTATACTGCTTTTATGTATGATATTTGTTCCCGTTCTCATCCATTAGTATGAATGCGAATCACCGGATTGGAAACCAATATTTGACTTTACATATTAACAGAAAACCGGAAGGAATTCTTTGTTTCCGAATTTATTATCACCTGTAAATTGAAGGGATTAATTGATAAAAGTCGGGTCCATGGACAAAAAATGGCATAAAGTTGTCCATTTACAACTTTCGCCATATGTGATTAGTTTCATTTGTGCAAATTTTTATCTTTATCATCCATATCTTTAATATTTTTTTACTGTCTATATTAGCATAATTGTTTTCATTATTATCAAATTTATCTTTACTATGGTCATTGTTCTTATTGTCCTAATTATTATCATCATTATAATCGACATCATCATTATAACAGTACTACATGTATTATTACTATTATCTTTATAACAATAATGTAACAGTTGTATTTCATTACAATTAATAAATTTAATCGAAAGTAACTTACAGTCATCTTCAGAAGTCGGTGCCCAAACTCTAATAGTTTCATTACTAAATCCGTACACAACAAAAGCGTTCTGAGTTGATGTGTTGTCGTACATTCCCATTGAAGAACCTACCAATATAATTAAGCATCCATTCGATTTACTTAGGAATATTTTGGGTAAAAAACGAATGGTTTTTTAACAATGACTGGTTTTTAGATAAAAGGTAAAACGGGGGAATTGTTCCTTTTAATAAAGACCACTGGGACCATCTTTTGACAAAACGTTTTGGAAAATCTCATTGTTACTGTTGTAATGAGAACAGTAGGTATGTCATGTCATACATAGGACGTTTTAATACATAATATAGATTAAAAAAATATATATACTTACCAACAGAATCAGAATAGTAATCAGGATATGTTTCCGTAGACGATGGAAACTAAGTTCTTGATATCACTAATGAAGGATAATCACCTAGGCCATGGGATTCCTCAAAATAGTTGTTCTGAGCTTTAACAAAAATATTAATCTTGGAATAACACTGTTTATATGTATTGATAAATGTATCTAATGGGTTATCTTTGATTACATTTTGTAAGACGTACAGAGTTGTTCAATGTCAAAATACATGTACGAAAAGCAAGCAATCAATGGCGGAATAGAACCACTATGACAAATACAAACCTCGAAACGCAAATGTCATCATAAAAATGCATATTTCAAATCTTATCAAAGGTGTTGAAGTCATCAAAGGTCAAATTTTATGTTCATTGCTCAAATCTTATTTGATTTAAATTTGCAAAATGTACAAAACTCTTTCGAGCATGCTTAAATGGTTTCATTAAAATGCTTAAATATTGTAAACTATAGAAAAAACAATTCTATGTATAACAAAGATTTACCAGAAAATGTCAGTTAATGTAACATACCATCTCGTCTGCTTTTTTGATATTCATTTAAGGCCGATTATACCTAAGAAATGCTTTTAATTTTATTTTTTAAAAACCTGTAGTATTTGGTATACCTCTGTAGTTCCAAAATACCTGCTAATTAGCCAATTTCCTGTTGTTTTTTTTTCTTGCAATTAGAACAGTTATATCGAAATAGTATTTTGTATGGAAGTCAAAATACTACTTCGCATACATTTTGCTACTTTTCTGGCAAATAATTTCAAATTAAGCACTACTTTAGAAAACATGCATCTAATATGCTCCAAAACCATAATATAAACACTATATAACTCAAGTTTGCCGTTCCTAAAGAAGGAAACATTTACTCGCACATGGGTTTTTAACAAACTGCACTTAAATTTGATACAACGTTGAATTCGATAAGCTTTATAAGAAATGTTTGGCTCCCTGCCAGTTCTGATTGCTGGGTTTTGTTGGGGGATGCGATCAATGAATGTCTCCTTCTTGTTGATTCTTCTTTCCATATTTTTATACAGTTAGGACTTTCACTTATTGAATCAGTCTGCCCTTTAAACATATGCTAAACGCGAAATACGTATTACTCCTGTTGTTGTCTTGTACTTTAAAATTAAATTAAATTGTTGTCAAGTTTAGAATCTTTGAAGTCAGATTAAATTTATTACTCGGGCTTTTGTTTAATTTGCTATGACCTGCAAAGAAAAAATACTACCTAGTTCAAAATCAAGGAATCAAAGATAATACTTTTAACTTCCCTAAAGTACCCCTCTAAATTTACAGGGTTTTTTTTGTTGTTTTTTTATTGTTTGACAACAATTATACTTACAATGTTTGTTGAATTATAAAGAAACAACATATTATATTAACCTCCTGTAGATATGAATTGTCCTGTCCTTACGAAATCTGCGGGGGGCAGGGTAGATTTTTTCCCAAGCTCGAGCTCTGACTTGAGCGTAATAAGATTCAATATCAGTGTATCCATTCCAGTATGGCCCTTTTCCTGGATTAAATAGAATGTTTTCATGTTTTCATATGAGCAAATTGTTCTCAATTTTATCATCACACTAAACCATTTGCAAATAGAACGACTGATTACGGGTAGAAGAGCTTGCAATATTTTAAAGGGATTTTAATTAGGGTAATGTCGTCACATTTACATATATACAGGCCAATGCAAAATCGTTTCTTCGGTTCGGAGAAGCGCCACTAGTTTGTCAAAAATAGCATATTCTCACATAATAAACAAATATTGATAAAATCTCACTTGTATAATCAAATCGTATGTAATTATCGGCATTATTTACATTTTTATGGTTAACGCTTTTTTGTTAATTTGAGAGACTGACAACCATAAATAATAACAGAATAATAAAGATTTATAATTTAGTTATTAATTGTCTGCATATTTTCTTGTAATCAGCGGACATTTAGCTAAAAAAATTGCATCTATTTTAATTTTACTCGATAAACCTTGACATGTGTTGTTGTTGTTCTCTAATGCATTATGGGTTGTATAACTACCATTGTCAATAGCAATTGCTGCTGAAACGACCAAAGCGTACAGCTGAACATTTTTATAACCTTTTTGTGTTCGTTTTCTCAAATTTGGTATAAATAGGCCAGAAAACGATCAACTTCAGTCGGTTTTCATTTTATCTTTCGGTTAGTCTACATTATTGTCGTTTTCTTCTGAACGGCACATTTTGTCTATTTTTAACGCAAAACAAAACATAGACTTAAGATTCTTATTTTACATTTAATCAATTATTATCTAAGAATAATTGATAAGAACTTGATAATTTGTTTCACATTAATACGATCACTGACTTGACCAAACTTTTTTAACGTTTCCACATTTTGAATAGAAATTAAACGACAGTTGCAATAATGATTTATGTGAAGTAAATATAAGATATAGCTATAGGAGATTTAGGACTGAATCATATACATGTGTTGATGTTATTTACAATACTGTTATCTGAATATTTGACATTTGAATTTGTTAACAGTTTACCACAAATTAAAAAAAAATGTGAACAGTCCTTCTTTTTTGTGACTCAATTTTTTATCTTAAATTGGCATACCTCAAGAAGTGAGGAATCAATATCAAGTACTGTGGAGTACAGTGTTCTTGCCATACATAATTATACAGAGTAGCCCACTATTGACAGATGTCATTATAGCATAGTTCAGCTAAATGGATCTATAATTTTTAGCAGCCGTCCGGAACAAGTATCATCAGTCCCTCTCTAACCATAACAATTTCTATTTTATATAGAACATTGTTATAATTGTGATCAATTCATTGTTTGTGAATGTATCGTTGTATACAGTCCAGTCCGATTATTGGTCACCAAGTTACCACATTTCTAAGAAGGTTAAAGGGGCCTGGTACCATATAGCGGGACTGTAGCGCAACAATAAAAACAACTGTTACAGTGTTTCGTCTAATAAGCTTTATGTAACCTGTGAGCTATTTAACAGGCTAAACCAAGCCAAGAACGGTTGCTGTTCTTCTGCAGCAAATATTTTTCTCATTCCCACCTGACCGATTAAAAATTGATTCATAGCTCCTTCAATATTGTGTTTTATTCGTCCATTTTTGCATATATTCCGAGAAGGTTTTTAAATGAGGTCATACGAGTATGAATTAACCCTTTATTGATGGGTACCTTAGAAATATCTCAGTGAACATTTTTTGTGCGTTACCCAAAAATGTAAATTTAACTCGAGCACTAGATAAACGTCAGTTTTAAACTTGAATCACAGTTTTTCAATGAAATATTCATATTGTGTCACTTTTTATTTACATGATTTTCTATAACATCTTTTACCGTACCAAGTATTATTATTTCTCAAAAAGTAATGACATTCATAGATCTTACAGCTAACATGCAACGTATTCAAACGTATAAAAGACGTATCCGTTAAGCAAACGTTATACTTACAATGTTCTTACAAGCTTCCGAATGCTCCGAGAATACTTGATATTTCTCATAACCAATAAAACAAATTTAGTCATGCTCTATAGGCACAATTTAAGAGAAAGATTTGCCTGTGTGTCTGTAAAAATGACACATGTATATTTTGTAAAACATTTATGAATTAAATTAGACATTAAACCTGTGTATACACAGCGGCCAAGATATCCATCCGATTGCATCGGAGAGCTGATGTCAATGTATACATCGTTGTAAATGTAAATTATTCCACCGTATTTTTCTGGTTGATCATCATCTCTGGCACGACAACCTATAAAAATATATAGGTCAAAACATAAACGAAAACGGTTAAATGATTTGTTTGAAGGCAAGGCCAAGTTACATTCTTAAAGACAAAAAAAGAACAAAAACTAAATATATATAAATGTCACATGTGCTTAATTGAATGTTTACAAAATCGTATTTTTTTCTTAACGGCAATTGATTTGACAATAAATAGATCGCATCAGAAACATACATTTACAAACTGCATTACCACTAGAAAAATACTGTCAGGTAGGAAGATATATATTCATAAGGATTTTTTGTAAATAAAGCTTATAAATACCTATGTTACTATATATAGTAACAAAATCTAGGGTATTTCAGGGCCATTATGGCAAGATCTAGGTCATTATGCAATTTTGGCCGCCTTGCTACTCGGCATTATTTTTCCATAATGGGCGAGTGAATGACGGATGTGTAATATGACGTAATCAACTTTCAGTGACCTTCAAGATGGCTGCTGAATGAACTTAAATTAAATTGTTGTCAAGTTTAGAATCTTTAGAAAAATGAACTGTAGTCACTTGCATACAATTTTCTTTAAAGTTTAAATTACATAATTAATCACAATCATTGAATATTTATAACCTCAAGACAATACAAGACCCTCAGAAATTCAAAAAATGATTTTAGACTAACTGTCCGGAAAGGTCGGATCGTTCAAATTTAGACCTAGACAGTCTCAGAAACACCCAACTTCATAACAAAAACTAGCACAAGATCTAAATGTAATTCTCACAAAAAATGTGAAGAGTAAGTGTCAGAATAATCATGAAGTTTATATGTAGATATGTATCTTACAACGAGTTAATATTTCCCTACAGTGATATATTGTTGTAGATGAAACAACGAGTTAATATTTCTTTACAGTGATACATTGTTTTAAATAGAGTGTAAATATCATGTTTAAACTAGTCGCTGTATGTATACATGTTTAAAGGTCAGATCGTTTAAGCTAGCAAATATGCGCGTTTTGAGAGAGATTACATCAGTTAGTCGAGACACGCTGATAGTGCGTAGCGGTTATTTTTTTATAGAGAAGATAATTTCGTTGTTTTGAAGGGAGTTTTGTTGGTTTGTTGAAGTGGTTGAATATAATTGTGGTGATCTTAATTGATCAAGGTTTATTGGTTGTATTTAGTTGTTTTGGTTGTTGAGTTATATCTGTTTGTGAAGATATAATTGGTTGATATTGGTTGAATGTTTGTTATTGTCAAGATTATATTAGTTGCTGCTTTGTTTTGAGGATCTATGTAAATATTGGGTGCTTTAGTTTAAGTTGTTTTCTGATGCTGATTAGATTGTGTGAAGTTAATA